AATTTTTGTTCAATAAAAATCTTTCAAATGCGACTGTAGCTTTTTTTTTCCCAAAACTTTATCTTCAAAATAAGGGTGCGTCTTATATTCCGAAAAATATGATACATGTATATTTCTAGTCAAAGTATGTTTTGTTTTACATAAAATTGATTCTCTAATTCTGATGCTTAGGATTCTAAATACTTTACAAGTTCTAGAATACTTAACATGGAATCTTGGGCTCAATCCACTTTCAAGGAAGTAGAATTTTTACTTGTATATTTGACATTTGTTGATTTACCACACACTTTTTCAATTGTAGTTAGCCTGCTGTTGTGGGAGTGCAGCATGTGGACTTTGCTGCTCTGCCTGTCCAACATGTAAAAGCTCCACTTCAAGTCGACTTATGTATGCAGTCATGCTGTTGGTGACCACCATAGTAGCGTGTGTCATGTTGTCTCCTTCAGTCAGAGATGGTCTTCAAAAGGTTTTTGATTCTGATTTTTTGTTACAGCTTTTTTTCACACTTATAAAAAATCAGAAGACTATATTTTCAATCAAAATTACTATAGTTTCACTCCAAAATGTTAAGTGAATTAACCTACATCATAACAATTAAAGGGTTATTTTTCTTGATCCATATTAAAAAAAAAACTGCTATACAATTTTAGAAATTAGAAGTTGCTTGAAAGTTTAGAAATATTGACAAGTATCGGCAATTTTGATGTATCTTGTTTACTTTGTCATTGCTAAAATTATCTTATGCTAAACATGATTTAATAAGGATTTGTTTGTTTATTTTGTTATCTTAAGATTATCAAAGCCTGGATGTTTACATAGTAAAGTTATACAAGTTTATAAGAATGTGTTAAGTGACAATAGGCTGTTTGCAACTTAGCTTTTAAACAAGTGAAAACTGTACATGTATGTACTTGAATGCACTCTTTCACATTCTTGTACCTGTCCAGCAATAACATTAATACTATCAAAATATGACACACTATCAGGCAAGTTATTCTATAAATTAATAATTGTAACAGATAAATAATTTTGCTAAAGACCAAATTTGGATTTGGGTTTTGAAAACTCATACTTATTAGCTTTTTAATACTTACAGTTACCTCATTGCTTCTAGCCATCTCAATTCAGAAATCAAACTCCACTTTCTACAAGTTCATGTGAAGAATACAATGTTTTTCCTATTGTACAGTTAGCACATTGTGTTTTCATAACTCTAGGACCTCCAAAATCCATATCTACAGTTATTCAGTATCCCTGTATATTTTATCTGGGATCTACTCTCCTCTACCACAAACTGTTCCTAAATCAGAAATTTAGGATAAAATGACATCCAATACTTAATACCATGTTGAATGGCACTCTGTAAAAGGTTGTGAAACACATACTTTGACCTATACCCTGCCTGTACACATGAATGAATTTTATAAATAGAGCATTTCAGGTTGTCTTTGACTGTCATAATCTAGTCCAGTTAGTGAGTTCTAGCATCAAATGAAATACTTACTTGAGTAGTGACTTGTAACAAACAAAATATAAACCAGAAAGGATATTTTTTATACATCTTTGAAACTTTAACTTTAAATCTGTAATACAAAAATTAAGGAGAATGTGAAATAAAACATGAAAATACATCTGTACTCAAATGTGACTTTTTTTTTTTAATCATGAGTATTAACATAAAAACAACGAAGAGATCATTTGGTCATTTAAGGCTCTCCTTGCACATCCACTCTTGAGAAAAGTAGAAATTTCAACCCACTTCTTATTTTTCAGGAAATCATTAGTTACCTTCTTAAACCCTTTTAAGGTGTCACCTCCATTTCTGTCGATGACAACTGATTCCATAAGGCAATTGCATTAAAACTTCGCATTCCATGATTGTGTTCTGTCCTTTACTTACACTAACCTAATATAAAGTAACAAATATATTTGTTTAAACTTTTTAATTTTAAATAGCCCTTGTAACCTAGTAAAGGTGTGTGTATTTATGTCTGCATTCACCAAAGTCTGTTTAATATCTTGTCAAAGACCTAATTTATTTTTTTTCAATAATTATAAATAAAAAAGAAAAGAATATGGAACAAACTGTCAATTTGACGATCGAACTGATATAATTGTTATAGCAACACCTTAGTGACCATTGTGATGTTTTTCACAAATGCTAAAAAGAATACATAAATTATATACTTGTATAGCAGGAATTGGGATACTGGCAAACATCAAGATTTAATAGTGAAGCCACTTTAATATTCAATATGATGGTTGAACAAAATTAGAAAGCATCAATATATTGAAGAAGTTTATCAAGATAAAGGCTGTAAAGAGTACAGACTTTATCAAAGAAACAAATAAAACAAATCTTTGTTAGAGTTTTGGCTTTGTTGGACTGCTCCTGACTCTTTCTAGAATGAGAAAAAGTTTTGGCTTCTATACTGAGGCCTTCTTCAAGTCAAAATCAAAGTTGCTAACTGGGTAGTGTCTTCATATTGGTTAGTAAGGTCCTTTGATATATTCCTTTCTGTATATTTGTTTTTACGTATGAATAGGCAGATATGGAAGTGTGACATCATCATTCATTCTGTTATTCTTTGTGATTTTGTGAGAGGGTTTGTTCAGAAGTTGCTGATTTGAGAGCAGTGTTCATGGTTGAGTGTAAGCTAGTGTAATTTGATGAAAGGGGATTCTTTTAATTTTCTTGAGTTACCAGTAACAATTTAATTATGTAATTATATTCTGCCACTGCTCATTTTTCTGGATGTATCAGTCTAGTTCCAACCATATGTTCTTTTAGTCATTGTTCTGTGGTTTGGCTGTTTATCCAGTGTATGTATATCCACACAAACACAGTATTTTGTAGATTAGTTCTTTATGTTTTAACTTGTTAATGTTTTTTTTCACTTTCAGTAGGGTATTTTGGAGGCTTCTTCCAGATTTGAAATATACATTTATGCTAAACTTGTGGCATAGTCTTTTGTGTTTCTTGCCTAATTTGAGAATTTATGGTAAAATAATTTTGGTTTTGTGTTGCTGAGATTGGGAACTAGAAGCTGTGGTGAATCTACTATGGTAGTCATTGTTTTTAAAAAACATTTTTTGTCTACAAAGTTAAGTTCTTTAATTTTATTCCTATTGCAGATTTGTTTGGTTCTGTCAGATATATTTCCCATGATTCCTTGTTTAACAGCCTGTGAATGGTTGAATTTGTTCTAGAAATACTTAACCGTATGTGGAGGTTTTCTGTATATTGTAGTGGTGAAGTGATCACTTTGCAGGGTTTTGTTTTCTTCCATTTGCATGGTGAATTGTATTTTTATGACAAAATTTAGGTGTTGCAGGAAGTCTTAGAGCCTTTTTTTCCCCCCCATGTGACCAAATTGCAAAGGTGTCATCTTGAGTATTATGTTACTTGTCTGTAGGGCTGTGTTTTCAAGTTCTTTCATGTAAATGTAACTGTAGATTAGTGAGAGTGGCATTCCCATTGGCAATCCACTTGTTTGTTCAAACAATATTTTGGAACTGAAAGTAGGTGGAGCTGGTGCAGTAGCTGAGAAGCTTTAATTTGTTATCGGTGTTTGTATTTGTTGGAGATTTAGATACATATCTGCTGCTAATTTCTTTTGGACTAAAGGAAGGACTAGGTTCACAGGAATGCTGGGAAATATACTGATAACACCAAAGCTAATCAGGAGGTCAGATGAATTAATTATGAAAGTTTGCAGGACTGTGCTAACCAACAAAAAGACTATGTATTTAACAACATTCACTTGGCCTGAAGAAGGCCCTACTTCTAAAAACTGAAACATTTTCCTACTCCAGAAACAGTTGGGAGTAGTTCATTAGAGCCAAAACTGTATCATGCCTTTATTTTCTAAAATACCTTATCATAAAGCCTTATTCATTTGCTAGCTATAATATTAAACGAAGTATCAAAAAATACATGTATAAAATTCTGATTCACAAGTAATGGAAAGTTATTTAATTTTCTAAGCAGTACACATGTAAGAAAACCTTTCAATGTTGCCTTAAATCAATATTTATAAGTTGTATGCAGTTAAGTGAAGGTATATTAAAACTCACAGATGAAACATTTGTTTTGTAGGTTCCATTCTGTAAAGAAAATGCTATATATTCTGTGCCTTGTGAAAATGCAGTTGGTTTTCTCTCTATTTATCGTATTTACTTCTCCCTGACTCTGTTTTTTGTGCTATTTTCTCTCATGATGATTGGAGTCAAATCATCCAGAGATTCACGGGCTGGAATCCAAAATGGGTATGTTAGATGTAATTTTTACATGTCATGTAAGTATTTTAAGTTGAATATATTTATGTAGTTTCTTTGATATAAATGTACTGTTAAATTAATTTTAGAATGATTCTATAGTTTTTTTAAGTGTAATGTTGAGAGTAAAGTTAGATATATGAAGTGCATCTTCATTTCTTCACTACTAGTGGTAAAATGAATATTAGGTTATAAGTTCAGGCCACAGAAACCTAGATTCAAATAGTTATAAGCAAAATTTTTAATCCATTACAAATCTCGAATGTTATAGTTTTACAAACTATGAGTTGTTAGTTAATTATATTTGAAATTTTGTAGTAAAAGGTTACATTTTAGTAAATTAATAAGTACGCTCATGTGGATATTTTATGTTAACTTTTTTAAGGTTAAATTGATTTTCCTCAGAGTATTAGGTAGGTCCTTTATAATGAGAGGATTAGTAGAATGAATTATGAAGTTGTCTTAATTTAACTAAACTGAGTTCAGGCAAAGAAATAAACAGATTCTTACATTTTGTCAATCTTTCTTTATGTCAAAGACAAAAAATACAGTGTGCATACTTGCATTAGGACTGTAGATGGTTGCCTCCTACTTGATTCATCAACTGATAAACTTATGTTTATCCCTTCATGTCTTTCTCTTATCCAGCTTTCTTGATCCTGTATATATACTGTTTAAATCTAATGTTTCTTAGTTAAAAGGAAACATCAGATTTATACATAGTGACTAGTGCTAACCACGGGACTGGTCATTGGCATTCAACATAGGAAAGGTTGTAATGTAACCTATAGATGTTATCTGTCTTGTCATTGAAGGACGCTGCTGTTGTATATATTCTTTAACAACATATAGCATTACAGCAATACCTTCCACGGTCAGAGCAGGTATTTAAAGAACAAGAGTAACAATGGCAGCTAGAACAAAGTCAACTTGATCTTTTCTGGACCATGTGTTATACAAAAACTCATAGATTCAGAATAAATGAAATATTTTACAAATAAGATATAAAATACATGATATCTGTGCATACTACAAACTTTTCTGATTACCTTCTAGTTCTGAAACCTCTTTTAAGCCATATTAAGTTTACTTTTAATGGGGTAAATATCTAAAACTAAGAGGATAACACACCTGTTGGTGAAATGTATGTATTTTTAAGATATTTATTAGATTCTACTTTGATGTATCTATTTAGTTGATTTACCAAGTGTCATTTTGCATCTGAGTAAGAGTCAAGCCTGTGTCTAGTGACAAAGTAGATAGTTCTGCTGAGTGCAACAAAATCAACAAGAGTTTTTATATTAATTTTACTTTCAACAGAATAGACTATCTCACATTTGCTTTGCATTCTTTGTCATGTTTGACTGAGTTATGTTTAAACTGCATTTTACATATTTTTGTGAGCATACAGTGTATACTTGGAGTTACTGTATGTAGTTATTTCAAACTTTGGGACCTGCATTATCTGAATAGAAGCCTAATTATTGTAGGTTCTTCCACATTGAACCAAAATCCTTATTGCAAGAGTATGTACACTATGTTTGGGTATGTATATGCAAGTTAAAAAAGCTTAAAACGAGTCCACTTTAGTTGGTTTGTGGAAATAATTTTTCATGCATTGAAATTAGAAAATACAACAAAGTTAAAAAGTGTTTGCTTTATTTTTATAAATAGTATCTGGTGTTCATGGTCACTTAAGAATTATTGATTGAAATGCAATGCATGTGCATATCATTTGCAGCAAAGAATAATTTGTATAACTTTATGTAGTAACAGCCAGTAACTACAATTTGTTTTATGTAGTTGTTATATTGTTTCCATTCTATTATCAGTAATAAAAAGATAATGATGTTACTGTTTTCATATTGGTTTAATGTGCACTTTTTTAATTATACAAACAAGTTAAGTACACTCAAGTTCAAGTGTATTACCACTATTACCCACCACTGTAAACTTGATGGTTTATAATGCTAAGATTCAAGGTTTGATATCTATAGAGAACATAGCACAGGTATCCCAAAACGAAGCTTTGTGCTTTACAACAAACAAACAAAATTATCACTGTTTTTCAAAGTTTGGACTTATATTAACAAAGTTGTTTTTGTTTTTTTAGATTTTGGGCCATCAAATATCTTATTCTTATTGGTGGAATAGTTGGTGCCTTTTTCATTCCTGAAGGAAATACATTTGGAAAAGGTAAGAAAATATTTTAGATTGAAATAGTCTCTAAACTATTTGTTATTATAAAACTTGCCAATTAACATTATTTTTATTTTTTTCAGTTGTGTCCAAAACTTCTATAATTATTGATAACAGTAAAGTGCAGTTTAACATATTTTTTTAGAATCTTTGGGTATAAGCTAGTTTGTTGTAATTTTCATTATTGAAATGTTGATGTTGTTCTTAATGAAATCCAGCCTATGTAATATTAAATACCATGAGTAATACACATTAGACAAGATGAAAGTGTTTCCTGTGTGTGTGTGTATGTGTAACTGTATAACAAACCTTATATCTACACCAAAGTTTTTACATATCCAGTTAAATACTGGTTCAGATTGAAACAAGTTAGTGATATTGTATCTTATTAACACCACATGAATATATGGATGTAAAATATACTGTAAGTCATAGTTAAAGTTTCTAACTTTTACTGAGAATGCATTTGAAGGGACCAAGGGAATACCCTGATAAATGATACAACTTTACCATGGTGACAACAGTCTGAAACTATTTATCATTTATTAGGTATTCATTAAAATTCCAGTAGTTAGTCAAAAACTGTTGTGATACTCTATATCAGGCAGAAAAAAATGTTAAATAGGAATTTAAACAAGGCTTTTGGGCAGACTGCATAACCAAATAACAATGGAAAAGCATTAAATATTGATTAATTTCATTTCCAAATGCTTGCTTCATATTTCCAAGTACATTTTTGTTTTACATTTTTCTTATAAAAGTATCTGTTCATACCATTCTGAAGTGCATGTATTTATGTTTAATATTTATATTTTGTATTCATGTAGTGTGGATGTACTTTGGCCTGTTTGGTGGATTTCTTTTCATTCTTGTTCAGTTGGTGGTGCTAATTGATTTTTCTCATAGCTGGGCTGAAAGCTGGGTTGAAAAGTCTGAGGAAAACAATTCTAATAGTTGGTATTATGGTAAGTTTGAACCATAGTTTATTTTCTGATCTTGAGAATTATGTACACCCCATTAAATTTGTACCAAATTGCTTATTGATCCATGATTTTATTAATTACAAGATTCATAACAATATACGAGTCACACAAAAATTGCAAACAAAAATATTGTCGATATTGTAATTAATCTCACTAATTACTGATGGGGGTTTCAACATATTGTTACATATCTGCTTGTTTGTTAATTTCCCGTAGAAATTCTTTCCGAGAAACTTCAGTGATACAACACAAGTCTTTTCTTAATTAAAACTAGTTTATTCTTTCTCGATACA